GAAATATCAAACAAATAGTTTATCCCTGGTCAAATAGTCCAACTTTATATTCCTTCTTTTTTTAAAAATCATTCCTATGGCATTGCAGGATTTGATCTTTCATCACTCTTTGGCATTTAAAAGGAGTCCTCAGAGCTTTCACCAACCGACTTTGTAAATCCCATAAAGAGGCATCGTCCAGAATTTCTCGTCACAGCTGTTCCATGTCCAGATCCCTTTCTTGATTTGTCTTTTGTATTCCCAATTTGGAAATCTCAATTTTGTTGTATTCCATGCCTTCAAACTCTATAATGTCTATGTCAGGTAAAAGTTTTTAAAAGTTTTTCTCATCATCTTCTAAAAGTTTATCCATTGAAATCTGTATCCTTTCTGAGATATTAGTTATTAACATTTTGATCAATGTTTCAAAAATTCAAGATAAGAAAAAGTTATAGGTGACTTAGCCATTTTAACTCTTTTCTGCCTGGTCTTTTAGTTCCCTCTTGTGTCCATTTGCAACCTTCATCAAACCTCAGTTCCTAATATGGGTTTAGTTCTGTTTCAGTCGTTTCCCACAAATATATTATTTAATTGTATACTTGTTTTTCAAAGCTTAACAGCAAAAATAACCAATATTCCAAATCTCTCTGGTCTCCCAATCCATTTAAAACCAAAGCTTAACAGCAAAAATAACCAATATTCCAAATCTCTCTGGTCTCCCAATCCATTTAAAACCAAAGCTTAACAGCAAAAATAACCAATATTCCAAATCTCTCTGGTCTCCCAATCCATTTAAAACTTTCTTAAATCAAAATCCTTTTTTTTGTTGTTTTTTGCCAATTGTATATTATTTTAAATTATTAAGTGTCTGATTAAAATTTCTTAAAACTGAAGAAGGTAAAACTCACCAGGTATCAAATTGAGCTCGCCGTTTTGAAGGTCTCTAATATCCATAAAGTGGTTAAATTGAATGTTTCTGAATGTGATTAGAAAGTGAGTTTGGCTGGCTCAGCATCCTTATGAAAGGCTCCACCGCTGCTGAGAGCAGAGATTCATCTCCCTTGGCTCCTGGTGCTCAAACCCGTAGGAGACTGCTGTTTTATAATCTCCTTGTGAGGAGCTGCCATTCAGAGGACTTGTGGGTAATCTCCCAATCTCTCCTTCTCCGGAGAGATTCGAAGGACTGGTCTGCTTGCCGGTCTTTTGTTCTTCATAGCAGTTGTTGTCTCTGCTCATTCTAATATTCCAATCATGGGAGTCGTCCCACAACATGTCCCTTATTTCTATTAAATCATTTTTGTTTATATCTACTAAGAGTTCAAATTCCTCTTATCCCTTTAAAGGCCAGTCAGTATGAGGCACAATAAGGTTTTTTTCTGAGAGGAGAGCACTACCATCATCGTTGAACTCAGTCAAGGCCTTTCCAGTCATACGTATGCTATTTGTTTTTGTTTTTTTCTGTTCTGTTCTGAGTACTAAAGATATTATTTTATATCAAATTCATTGAGTGGGTACTGCAAATTTTCTCAGATTAGATTCTTAAACTTTTGGTTGCCATGGATTTGGGAGAGGAAACAGCGGAGTATTTTCATATAACTTCCACACTCTCTTCCCAAGTGTAACAACAAATTGATGTTTCCCATTCTCACCCATTCCTTTCTCTTGTAATTATGACTGGGAAAAGCTATGTATAGGTTTCTATATATAGGTTTTACCAGAGCTGTTAGATCTGGGTGCAAAATCTAGACAATGACTAGATGGCAACAAAGACTTAAGAGTTTTCTCTAGGTTTTGTTGCTGTTTAGCAGTTGTCTGAATTTTTGTAGCTCCAGGTTTTGCAAATTACTTAAGGCCATCTAATATTTCTTGGGAATCACAGTATACATATCTCATAAAGAGATATTTTTCAACTTTATGTTGCTTCCAATATGTACATTACTACTTAGTTGAGCAGCGTGAATTCATCTTTGGTAAATGGTATTTCTGTGGTTTTTCTCTTGTTCAGATCATCTTTGTTCCTTCCTTTAGCTGTCATCCTCATTCCTATTCCTCTTTTTGTGACAGTAATATTCTGTCCATTTTTCTTCACAGATTAGTTCAGTTTCCCGTCTGCCATCCCGACTCAATGCTATCCTCTTCAAGCTACAATTTAATGAACAGGTGGAAAACATAAAGCCAGAGATTGTTGCTGTCACAGCAGCCTGTGAGGAACTTCGCAATAGTGAGAACTTTGGCAGTCTTCTCTCCATGATTCTCCTTGTGGGCAATTATATGAATTCTGGCTCCATGAATGCTGGTGCCTTTGGATTCAACATTAGTTACCTTTGCAAGGTAAGTATGAGGAGGAAAGGCTGGGGAGGAATAAAAATAGCAATCATCATCTTGTGCAATGCTCAGAGTAGCCTTTTTTCTTCATGTCTTCTAGCTTCGTGACACAAAATCAGTTGATCAGAAGTCTACCTTGCTTCACTTCTTGGCAGAAACATGTGAATTGCAATATCCTCAAATCCTGAATTTTCCAGATGATCTCATCCATGTGGAGAAAGCTTGTCAAGGTAATGTTGGGCATGTGGATGTGTTTTAAGATTACAGCAAACAGCTGTTCTTTGTCATCACTACATATGCATTTTGTGCTGTTCAGAATACTGTTTGAAATGTTTTTGCTGAATATTTTTTGCCAGGAAAACTTTTCAGCTCCATTCCACTCCACATGCCCAAAAGGAATGTTCAGTTATGATCTCAGTTCCTTTTTGACCACCAAAACAACGTATCTTTTTGACCAAAGTAATATTTTTACTTTGGTTATAGAACTAATCCTGAGGTATCTTCTTTATGTGTAATTTTGTTTCTTTTTATCATTGTTTTATTTGATTTTATTATTATTCGTTGTCTTATCTTCTTTTGGAATGTCTTTATCCCATTTGACCTCACTGAAGCAGTGTCTCTGCATTTGCATTATGAAGTATCCTTTTGAAAGTGTGTGAATTGTAGGAGTATCAATTTATTCCTATATTCTTTAACAGATACTTTTCTGTGTGGTCTCTTGTGCTTGAGGGAGGGGGATATTTAGAAGACTTGCAGCTATTATCAGTGTTTTACTAAGTAAGTTAGGTGTTGGAAGTGTATGCTTAACACTTTTGTTACCACAACCTTGCAATTCAGAGAAGGAGGCTTCAAGTTTAATTTTTTTCAGGATGAGGACCATGTCAAGTGCTCTTAATGGGGAATCAAAACATTTATAATTGCCACCTCAGTTTATTCCTCAGTTTCTCAGAAACTTTGGGGAAAAATGTGCCAAATTAAACTGAGGATCTTGGAAAGTTATGAAGAATGAAGTTGGTGTGTCAATGCAATACAGTGGCTCCCCTCTTAAATCAATAAACAAGGGACATGATCCCCTAGCATCTTACGAATCTAAGATTTCTGAGACTGATGTATCGATAGACACATCTCTTTGCTGTACACCTTCTTGGTCTTAAAATAATGTTGCTGATTGTCTCAGCCAGATTCAACAGAGCTCCACAACTGGCAGTTGGATGCTCAAATCATTGCAGCTGTAAAAGTAAAAAAATACAAAAAATCTTAAAAGGCAAAGAAAAAATGTGTGCCATAATACTATGAAGATTCTTAGTCACCACTCCATCACAAGGGCAAGTGCAGCCTAGCTCAGCTTTAGTTTCTTTTTTCGGGTGTGGGGGAAGCAAATTATTAAATAGCTGATTTGGGAAATACAGGAGTGCATTATTTTTAGGGAGGTATTTGCAGTGTAATTCAGCCTGGATCATAGCCATATTGTTTATGAAAACAGAATCTGGGCTTCTGTTTTCTTAATATGGCTAATATGGGATGAGCAGGAGTAAAATCTTCTCTGCAGGTTTGCAGGATATTGCATCATTCTGTTTTGTTATCCTTCCTGTCTCCATCTTTGTTGTCTTTCCTGAAAGAAATGTTAGATCTATGTTTGGACTTAGTGTCTGTCATAGCAGGAAGTATGGAGAGGAAAATATTAAAATGCTGGTTGCAGATGTTTGTTATATTCAGTAATTTACAATTGGAACATGAGGAAGGGAATTTCTGTTTTGGTCTGTTTACTTATAATTGTGCATTTTTCCTGCAACTATCCTACCTGGTCCAAATGTTTATCTGACTACATAGTGAAGTGCTGATGATCAGCCCAATGAAATAAGCTTGTTGCCAATTCTTAGTCATGTTGTATTATGCTGAAAATGGCATATAACCCGGGGCTGTAATACAGATGACAATGTTTGTCTTACTTCTCATGAACTTAGATGTTCTTAGCCAAGTCAGTTTTTATCTCCCTTTTTCTATCTGTTTGCAATATACAGTGCATTCAGAAAGTATTCAGACCCCCTTAACTTTTTTCAATTTTGTTATGTTGCAGCCTGATACT